ATCATTATTATATCAATTCGGTATTGTTTAAAAATTCAAGGTTTCTGTAAAGAAAATATAGTTTTTGCCTACTTTTGTCCAAGTAGTATATATATTAATATAATATATTATATATTATACTATATGTATTTTTTTAGCCAATCAGAATTCAATCACATGGTGGGTAGGATTAGGTTTCTAATTGAGCATAATCATGTGATTTCTGGCATGCCCTTAATTGGAGAGAACAAAAAAATTATCTAACTAATTCAAACAAGTTTATTTTTGAGTGTAATCAAAAATTAGATAATGGTAAAAATTGCACTGTGAAAATTGAAACTTCAAGTTCAACTAGTAATATTATTAGCCATCTTAATTGAAAACACAAAATATATGAACATTCTAAACCTTTATTAAATATTACATCATCCTTAAAATAGGTAAAAATTGATCATTATACCATTTTGTCAGATTCATATTCACAAATAACAGAAAATTAACAAAAATACTTGAAAACCCTTCTTTTTGAATGGCTTATTCTAGATTTTCAACTTCTTCATCTTTTGAAATTTCCTTCTTTTCATTGATTTATTAATACATTAAATAAAAATTTTGAACTTTTAACTGATAAAGAATTTCAAAAAAGAATATTTGAAGCATATGGATTTTTAAAAAATAAACTTAAGCAGTATATCTATGAAAATGCAGTTTCGGTTTTATTTACTTGTGATCTCTAGACTTTTTGTAGTAAGCAGGATTTTTTTGGTATTACCTGTTATTTATTACACCTGATTTTGAAATAAAAGAAATTACTTTAGCTATTCAATATTTGAAATATTTACATATCAGAGATGCTATTCAACAAGCAATTATTACTTAATAGGAATTGCAATATAAAGTTTTTTCTGTACTACCGATATTACATTTAACATAAAAAAATGTCTTACCCAAATTGTTTAGTTGCATAAATTATCATATACAATCCAATTAGTAGTTGAAAAAGGGTTGTTTACTGCTAAAATTCTAATTACATATGCAAAAATTTTTTTACTTCACCAAAGCAAAATGAATGTTTTTTAAATGCACAAAAAAAAAATTCAGAAGAACTGGAAGAGGATAGTGATTTGCATAGAATTTTTTATAGAACAATTACTAATGTTAAAACACTAGGGTATACCATCAAATAATTAAATCAAAGTCTATGTAAAGTACATATAAAAAATTATTATCAGAGATTTTTTTGATGATTACTATAATTCATAAACTTTATTTATAAGTACCTTCATATTAAAATAGACAAAATTTCACATTTCCATAACTTTAACTCATTCCTACTATTTATGTTTCAAATTCTGCAAGAATATCCAAAATAACTATCTTTTCCATATAATACCTTTATTTTTTTTAAAGAAGGCCATTTGCATTAGAACTAGTCCTTTTAGTTAATCCTTAATAATAAAACTTTTTTTCTTTACTTGTTTTTTAAAAAAATTGAGGTATTGCATTATTCTTTAAGTTATTGTGTATTTTTTAGTCTTTTAGTATTGCATAAAAACTAATAATACATGATTTATTGAGTTTCTGAGATTTCTGATTTTTTTTACGGGAAAATGCCTTTCAAATACAAATTAAGAAATTACAACAATCAAAACTAAGAAAACAACCATTGTACAGGTTATTTGAAAAATAATACAAGTATAATTTCATGAGATCCTAGACAAATTGATGCAAAGTGAGTTAGAGCAGCAAACCTATCAAAAAATAATTTCATTGTATTTTATTTATAAAGTATAAACTATGTATTTGTATTTAATAAATTTAATAATAATAATAATAATAATAATAATGCCATTTTAAAATATCTGACAAAAATTCCATTTGACTCATTAACCGGCAGAATTGTCAAAAAAATCTCTGCTAATAATTTTTTATATGATGTTTTGATTTAATTATTTGATAGTACACCCTATTGAAACACGATGAGTCAAGTACATATATAGCATGGGAAAGGTTAATAGCTTTAAAACCTTATATTGATATTGTTATTTCATCTTTAAATGTAAATAAAGATAATAATGCTAAAGAGGATGCGAAAAGGTTAAACAAAATTAACCTTACTAATAATGAATGGGATATTATAAGGGATTTACTTGAAATTTTGGGTCCTCTTGCCCAATTAACAGAAATATTAGAAGGTACGAAATATGCAACCATGAGTTACATATATCCAGATATCATTAAACTCAAAAGTATGTTTAGTCCAACAATAAACTCTAATTTAGATTTGGAGACAAATGATGATGCGTTTGAAAATCATCAATTTGAAGAAGTTGATGAAGATGATGAACCTGATGCCAGGTGAAAAATCAAAATAAATAGTCCTACTAATACTTTCGGACTTTTGGATAATATTAAATCAAACCTTTATAAAGCACTTGAAAATTATTTTGAGGTAATTGAAAAAGAGGCACTTATTGCTGCACTTTTGGATCCACATAAGAAAAAAACTATGTTTGCAAGCAATGATCAAAAGGAATTAGCAAAAGCTAATCTTCATGAAGTTTATGAATTAGCAAAGAATGACACTAACATTCACTTAGAGGAATGTGAGCCAAAACCAAAAAAAAGAAAAACTTCAACACGAGTTTATAAAAGACGCTTGTTCTCAGATGATGAATCTCATGATCTTCAGACTGAAGATAATGAAGTTTGACGATATTTAGTAATGGCGCAAATTAAAAATGATCAAGACCCTTTAAAATGGTGGGACGTAAATAAGAGTCAATTTCTGATCTTAGCCCAATTAGCACGAAAGTATCTATGTATTCAAGCAACTTTGGGGGCAAGTGAAAGGGTCTTTAGTGATGCTGGGTTGATAATGTCCTCAAAAAGGACAAGTATGAAGGAGGATTTATTTGAAGCTTTAATTTTTTTTGAAAAGAAATGGCGATTTAGTTGGAGTGGGCGAAATGTTTAGTTAATAATTATGTTTATTCATATATGTATTAGAATTGAGATTTGTTCTTGAACGTGATGTATCATTTTACATATTCGAATTATTTTACTAAATAAAATTCTCTTATATAAATGAAGAATAAATTTATTATAATTTATTATTATCTTAATGATTAAAGCACCTCAAAAATAAGTTACAAATTTTGGATGTAACCCGTATACATGACATTTCTATATTAATTTATTTACATGATTATTTTTTCTCAAAATACTCTTGAACCCGTTGCTTCTTCATCACTGGTTTCTCTCATTGTCACAAGCTTTGATTTGAATCTGTCTGGAGTTTTTTCCAATGAAGTAATGGCGAGTTTTGCGCAACAAAACTTTTCTTCATATGAAATCTTTTTGATAGGTTGCCGTTTCTTAAAACATAAATAACAAAGGTATTGACTATTTGAATAAGGATGATTAGGTATTATACGAATATTCATACCTGAATTCCTTGAGATTTACGACCAAGATGATTTTTTACTTGCTTAGCAGTATTAGTAGTTGCGGAACTGGTTGCGGAACTTGTTGCAAAATCTATGGAATTTAGGAAACGTGTAGTTAACAAAATTAATAACAAAAACCATATTAATGCTTCAAAAAAAAATCCGTTCAATGTACCAAGAAAGGTGTCTCCCTCACCAAAAGTTACGTCGTTATTAAAGTCCCTATAATGTGGAGCAAGGAATGAAAATGTACCATGCTGTTCAACCGTTTGTCAAATCCATCAAAACGTGTAATGATTTTGCGGTAAATGTAAGCAGATTCGTCTACAGGATTAACGATTGTCGATTGTCATCTCAGAACCAGATATTTGTCATCGTCGAGGCGAGGCCTGCCTAAGTCACCCTTTCTAGAATTTTGGAAATTAAGAATATGCTTATAATAAAACATTTCTTCTTTACTGCAAACGGATTCGATTTACAGATCCAGCTGTAAGGCAAATTGCGTGAAATTGGTGTGATTTAATCCTTGTTAAGATTTCTTTTATCCATTAGGCAATATAGGACCTCAAATCCTGTTATAAATATATTGAGTTGCGTCTTTAATTATTAAATCAAAGATCCAAAGAAGGAGTGCTTTCAAATTCGACTCCAGGTGATTTTGCCAAGCTCCTTTATTCTTTTCAGGCAATATAAGTCTTTTGGGATCCAAAGACGAATATCAAATGTGATCTATTTGTTCTACAAACCATTTTATAAAATCAATAAAAATTGAATTGAAAAGTAAGTGACCAGTAATTATAATGCGTACCAGTAAAACAGTAAAACTGTAAATCAAGTTATCATTTCCATGATCAATATTCATGAAATTCGTTCAACTGAGCAAGCACAAAAAAAGCGGCTGCTAAAGATCACTAACTTTATCACTACAAATAACCGGATATTATGATTGGCTTATGATCACGTGAACGAACATGACGTCTATCACGACGCGTGTATGGCCAATGAAATCAATGCAAAAGTATCAGACTTGACCCAATATTGGTGTTATTGTTTGGTGCATATATTGGGTGTTGAGTGCATATAAAAACTTGGCTGAATGTCTAATAGCATTGCTTGGTTCAAAAACTGTATTTTTATAAAACACAATTACTTGACCATCATAAAATGATCCAGGAATATCATCAGGGATTTAACTGAAGGTGTTAAGGATAATTTCATTACACCTGTAGAAACTGCAACATCATCTCCAATGGAAACTTTATGTTTATCATCTGCAGAAATTAAACATGTCCATTGACACATGTCCATTGGCGGTATAGAATGCAAAATTCTCTAAGATATCGAAAAAGTGCTGCACAATAATGTGCATCATCACTATTCTTTTGAAGCAATCTACATTGTACCATTAAATCGGCTTGTACGATACATTAATCGCGTTGTAGTAGCATTTGTAGGATTAAATTGAAATCTAATCCATTCTTCTGATGGAATATGAGCGGTGAAAGGAAGAAGATCACCGTGGACAATCTTTAATCTTTCTACTATAATTTCGTGAAGATCACGAACAGAAAGACAGAAAGAGTCTAATGGCATATACGGAATAGTTCCATGTCTACGTTCATTTACTGCAAGCAAATCTATTATTGAGTTTATCAATTATGTAAATTAGACAATTTTTTTTAATATTAAAAAAGCATTTGATAAATAATACAAAATTTTACCTGCTCATTGAAATAAGCTTCTAATTCATCCCGTTAAATCTATTATTAGTTCACAAATAGCTTGCATAAATTATCCATTAAAATATTAAGGTTCATTTAAAGCTGAACCTGTCATTCTGAGTTTGTATTTTCAATATAGTGTCACCTAATTTGTTAAATATAATTTATTATGCTCTTTTTTTTAAAATTTCAAAAGCCAAAAAAAAAGTAAAAAAAAATAAAGATATTTACGTCGAAGGTGGCGGCGTCCCCAAAAGACAATAATTTGTGGGCGAACATATTTTTCATTCCTACAAACAATTTGCTATTGGTTAGTATCCATTTCCATCTTTTAAATACTAGTATATATTTAGATATTATATAGCATTATTAATATAAATAAAAAGAAATTATGAAATACAGTTTTGATATCTTGTTGAAGTAATATTTAGCTTCGTTTTAATCAGTATAGGTATATTTGTATCAAAAAATATTTTTTTTTTTTTTTTTGTTTTTTTTNAATATTTTTTTTTTTTTTTTCGTTATTGAATACGTACCGTCGAATACTGGCCCTTGCGTTTCCAAGGGCTCTTTCCCGGTATTGATTCACGAAACTTTCAAATATTTTCATATTTAATCGCGGAGGAACTTCAGGTGTACATCATAATGTAAAATATTGACATAGTAATTAAGGTTGTTCGAACTTTAATCGGTCTTCCTTCACGGCCAACACCTGGTCTTTTCACAAACGGTGTAATTTCCATGATTGATGAAGAGAATAAGAATAATAATATACAAACAACTTGTTTTAAACCTAAAATAGACATCATTTCTAAGCTCCTTCTAACCCATTGTTAACTTCTCTCAGTTTTTTTTGCATTAACAAAAACTTGCACTTCTCGATCAATATATTTTAAAATGTAATTGCTTCAAAGAGGTTAGAAAATGATTATTAATAAGTTCCATGCTAACTACACGTTCAGAAAGTATACATTTGATACTTTCATTAACTTGAGCATGTTTTATGAACTTTCTTGAGAAGAAATTAAGTCAAATGCTTGTTGCTAAAAAATCACGTGCAATTTGCGCAATTAATGCGCAATAAAAAATCATGTGCAATTTGCGCGAAATAAATCCTGATTTGCGCATATATCAATAATTTACAAGTTATAATTTATAAGTTATAACCCAAATACCTAATATCCCAATTTCCAAATCCCAATCCCACGTCAAAATAAGTATCTAGTTTAATGAATGGGGTAATTGTAAATTTATAGTATTTTAACGAAAAAATAGAGAGATTCTTCTAACTTGTTATTTGTAAACAACTCTTGGAAAATTATATCGTGTCAGTTATTTACGCATATTTATTGGATAAAAATTAAAGTTTACATGTAACGAAAAAACCAGAAATTTGAATACTTACTAGTAAAAAAATACAAAATTCTGGATTCTGCGCCAGAATATATTAGTGGATTTTGATATGGAAGAATCTTCAGATTTTTTAGAAACATCAAACTATATATAGTTTCATGACCAAAAAAAAAACAGGTTAAAATTCAAATTTGGATTTAATTATGGTAACATAACATGAGACGAAGTTGAAAATGGAAAATTCCGAAACAGTGGAATACTGATGTACGGTATGTGAAAAATGTTAAAATGATTTTACAAATTCGGACTCAACTTTACGTCAGCACGGCATGTGTAACAATGATGGATATGACTTTATTTTATATAAATCAATTGTATAAATTTTTATATAGACTTGAATTTTCAAGTTTTATACTGTATATTATTTGAATATGACTGGAAATAACAAAAGAAATTGGCGCTCGGAAATACTAAATCCGTTATAGATAATTAAAGCTTTTCATTCAGCCAAAAAAGGATCTATAAATGTATACTCATTATACTCCATTATCATTTATGTGAGACGACTAAGACGCATACAAAATTCGGTGTTTCACGATAAAAATATAATTTTTAATCAATCAAAAATTCATAAATTCTTTGTTTTACTTTTTTTAAATAATCTTTACTTAATAAAATTCAATAATAGGACAATAAACGTAATCAATGACTAGTACAACCATGGATTTAAATTAAAAAATTTTGTTACCATCCGAACGTTTAATGCGACAAACATATGTTTGAATAACGTAAAATAGGGTAATCTTAAGAGGTTATCCCGTTTCCCGCGTCGACAGTTGTCAACGTGGCGTAGTTCACAGATTAACCTTTTTTATAAACTTTAGGTTTGTGATATCATTTTTTTTTTTTTGTCATTCTTGCTTTAAAAGACGAATCAAATTATTAAATGAGCTATCACGAACCTCATGTCTTTTTTTTTACTAACTAATTTTGTTACTTAAAGATATGGACCAGGGAATTTCAACTCCGGATCATTAATTTTCGACGAGTAAGAATTGGTGTTACATATCAAAAAACTGAGCAGATAGTATATCTTACAAATCAGAAAAAAAAAAGAGAGTCATAATGCACCTTTCACATTGTTCTTAGAATTTCAATAAGAAGTTTTTTGTTTGTGATTTTAGTAAACAAAGAATTCGATAAAAGAAAAAAAAACTTAAAAAAAATTAAGTAAAATGATTTTATAAAAAATAGATAAATGATAAAGCAAGTAATTACGTAAACAAAAAAGCAGCCACTCAGGTTTGCATTGATGACTGCAGTATTTGTCATAAGATCAAGATCTTAAAAAGTAATATACGTATTTATCGTATTAGGTGAGTTAATAATTAGAATAAGTTATTGTTTCAATACTTTAATAAAAAAAAAATCTTTTTAAAATATGCTAATAAAAATAAATAAATTGTTATTGTTTCATTACTTAATAAAAAAAATTATGTTAATATAATCAAAATTGTATGGTTGTTAAATAATATAAAAAGGCTCTGAAAATTCCTAGCGAAATTGCAAAAAAAAAAATTTCATTTTTTTTTTTACAAAACAAACAAAAATATCAAATACATTCCCAAAATTGCAAAATTTCGTAAAATTTAATATACGGCACAATCATCAAAGAAATTCATTCTGTCCAAATTTCCCACATCAAGCTCTTACTACATACAGTGACGACAACGGGCAAATTTTGTCGAACTTTTAAACGTCTCTACTCAAAACTCTATGAAAATTACAAATTTAATAATTTTCATAAATTCGTTGGTTGAAGCATTTAATTTAATATTCTACATTAAATTAATAATTCCTTTTATTAAATGCTCCTTGAACAAATGTCGACATACGCTTGCTCATTAGTTGATACATCAAAGTCCTTAAAACAGAAAAGTGTCATTAACGTCCAGAAATCCCTAAAGACACTTCATTATGCTACGGCTTATAGATTTGATGAAGTAATAAGAGCGTACGATCGACTAGTAGATTAATAAAAGAGTCGCTATTCGTATTGCCAAATATAAATCACTGTTTATGCGATGCGAAGAGAAGACCTCTGCAACCTTCTTTACTAAGGTCACAGTTAGGTAAAACCGATTTACATATTAGAATAGATTGTATTATTTGATATAGATTAAACCCCTTATTATCCTATCATTTCATTTTAAACTTTTTCTGGAAAAATTAAAAAAATTAGGAGGGTTTAGAGATGATAACATACCGAATAACTGAATGTAATTTGGTATAAGCGTATAGCTTCTTCAAATTATGAAAATAACTGAAGCAAAAAACTATATAGATTATTTCCGGGCTCAAAGAAATACGTAGGCAAAATTTTATTCTTTGATTAGGAGAATTGGAATAGATATATTGTTATATATAAAATTCAAAGAAATTAGTTTTCTTTAATTTTTGTTTATTCATTCATGACTTAAAATTTAATAAATCTAAAATAATTAAATTCATCCATGATAATAAATCTAAATAATTAAAAAAATTTTTTTATTGTTTCTATTTTATTTCTTTTTTCTTTTGTTCTAGGTAAATGATGAATAATCATTTTGCACCAAAGTTCTTTGTTTTACAGCTATTTGCAAAAATAACGGACCACCCAATTCATTTTTGCTCCGAAGTTTCATACGCATTCATACGCAGTCATACGCACAAGAGCATAATTGATCGGCATAATTCCGGCCAAATTATAAATTTGACCAGAATTATAATTTCCATTTTAGGAAATTTGTCGTTACACAAGTTCTGAAAAGGGAATTTTCATTTTTTGGAAAAACAAAAATTGTGGAATAGCAATCGCCAAAAAAGGATATGATCGTCATAGCCGTTTTATAATTCTGGCCAAAATTATAATTTGTCCAGAATTACTGCCGATCAATAATAATCTTTGCATATGACTGCGTATGACTGCATATGAATCTTCAGAAAAAAATAAATCATTATTTTTGCAAATAGCTGTAAATGAAATAAATATCACACAGATCTACATACAAAGAACATGATCCTAAATGTATGACAGATTACGCCAAATATATTATTTAAAGTATGTGGCGCATTTTTTAAAAAATCGCAAATTTTTCAGCCAAAATTTCATTTGTCATTTTAAGTAAAATTGCAGAGCAGGGAAAATTACACCACTATATATAATTTTAAGGTTTTGAACATAAGTTTATTAAGTTTTTTTTTTATAATCAGCATAAATCATGCAGTCATTAGAGAATTTGATAAGATGCACTTTTTTTTATTATTAAAATAAATGAGAATTTATTAAATAAAAGTAAATGGTTTGCTTTAGCATTATTTTCAAAAAAAAAAAATTGCATAACTCACATAACTCAATAGTATATTAATATATAAAGTAAAAAAAAGTGAACCATTTTCTCCTTAATTTTCTTTCTTTTCTTTACACATTTTTTTTTTTATATATAATGTTAGATATGTTAGATTTATTTAATATTTAGAAATACATTCAAACTATAATAGAAAGAAAATTTCAACTTTATGATACATAAATTATAATGTTACATATTTGATAAAAATTTAAAAAAAAAAAATGAAAAGAGCATCATTAATATCTTCAAATAAAAACAAAATTAAAGAAATTTCTTTAAATATATGTACCTGATCTCATATCAAAATATCTAATCTTAAATAATATTCAAGTTCAAAGTTGATATCTACAGGAGAAAATTAAGAATGTATTAGTATTATTATTTTTTTAATTGAGTTTTGTTAAAAAAATTAATAAAAGTAATTTTCTATTACCAAATTTTTATACATCTAATATTCAAATAACCACAAAGAAAAATTGTACTGTTAGAAATAATGTATTAAAAAAATAAAAAATGAAAATTAACCTCACTAAAAGACTCAAAGTCTAAAATATTTTATTAAAAGAATGTTCTTGCCAAATTTTGCATTTAAAAAGTTAAAGAACAACCCTTTAAAAAGAAAAAAAAAATCAGTAACTATTTAAAAGATATAAGTTTTCTTTTCAATTTACTATACTAAAATTCCAGACTGAAGTTTATCATCTCTAAGTAAAAAATGAAAAGAAACATTAGTATTAAACATTTTTATAATAAAAAAAACATACAGTCAAACCTTGATATAGCGAACTCTTGATATAGTGAATTTTTCAGATAACTATAATAAATTTCCCCTTGTTATAACGAATTAACCAATCAAATCTCTTAAAATCTTTACTATACACTGGTCAAAATTAATACTATCGGGTACCTATCGGGTACCTGATATGTGTACAATATATGTGATATATGTGTATGATATTTAACAATGCTACACATATCAGGTACCCGATATGTGTAGTAGAAATGTAGAAAAACGGTGACACATCATATAC